AACTGCCCCTGGGGCTGCGCGCTGGGATAATGATAACGGAAAAAAAAACCCACCTCAGTTCACTGGGAGGGGTTTTCGGAGCAAACCAAAGCGGGTAGAAACAGTCCTAAAGCTTTCTCCTATAATCGTGAGCTGTAACTGCTGAGATTGTCTCGGCACCGTATTGAGCTCGTTTGTTTGTTGTAGCACTATGTCTAACATAAAGACAGAAGATGAAATAGCTCTCTTTGAAAGAGAAATAAAAGAGTTTTGGACCAAATTCAAAAGCATTTACGGCAGTGAACAGATCAATCAGACTTTAGCACTGAGAGATTCATGCAAGGACTCTATAAAAGCACTTTCAGGTAAGAAGGCTGTATGTTCACATTACCTCTGGGTTCTCCAAGTTATCATCAAACTTCATCATTTAACTGAAATAACTTTCCATTACAGAAAAATGGTCTAAGAAATTAAAAGAAGAGGACCTGATGATTGATAAGATTCAGGAGTATAGTGATGGTACAGTATAGAGTTTTATTTGTCTGACATGTCTAAAATTAACTTAATAATATTTTTAAGCTGACATTCTAAAAGACAAACTGCAAAGCCAGAGTGAAGCTAGATTTAAAACCAAATGCATTTGGTTATAGGATATAAACTGTGCAAGTTAAAAGCACTTTGTTGGAGAATTTCATTGATGCAATAAGATTAAGCTTGGTTAAGTTTTACATATGGTGTTCTTGGTGCTTAAGAATGAACAAGTGATTAAAACTTAAAAGAGCAAACTGCAGCACCTGCTGACTATAATGGATTAAATGGATTAATGAATTTAAATATTGTGAGGTTACTTTTGTCTCTTTGATATTAGTAATGGAATATAGTCAGACTATCAGTCTAGCATTAACTACTCTAGAGTTTTGTAACCAACCTTCAGAATCTTAGGTAAAAATAGTGACCGTATTAGCAATCAATGTTTCCCACCTGCTTTCTGTCAAATGACTTGTCTATGGACAGAATCCACTATCCTTAGGCTTTGAACATACATATCATTCTGGTGCCAGGAATAAATTGCATATGGCTGAAGTATCAGAGGAGCTCCCTACTTTGTACCTTCTCTTTTAGTTAATTTTCAGTGTAAACACTTTATTATACAGAGAACATCAAATATAAGTATAATGCTGACTTCCGTATCCAGTTGAGATAGCTTGCATTCCTCTGGATTTTATTCAAAAGAGTCATCTCAAACAGTATAGGTATGGAATAAGTATTGGGGAACTAACTAATTAACTGTAAATGTCAGTATTTTCCTGCTTCGTTTCAGAGATTCTCCAGCAGAGCAAACGCATATCAGAAAATCAGGAACATTTGACAAAAATAAAGTCTAACCTAAATCATGAAGAAGAGCAAAAGAAGGACTTGACTGGCAGCATCCAAGAGCTTAAAGAAGAGCTGATGAAGAAAAAGGAAAGTAAGTTTTGAAGTTGAATTAAGTAAAAAAACAAAAACAAAAAACCACCATGGAAACCTTCTGGAGTGTAATGCTGATGGCTTTGCTGTATGTCTTCAAAGTAATAAATCTAGCTATCTAAATAATACCCAAACTAATAGGGATGCAGGATGTGAAGATAAGGTGAAGAAAAGTTTACATAGCAAGGCTTCAACTATCAACAAAATTTGCATTTAAAATGCTTTCATTCCTCATCCTAGTCAGGGCTGTTTAACTAATTACCACTTGTAAACTCATAATGAAAAGTTTAAAGTTAAGTTTAAAGATTCTTAAACAGATCATTAACTTGACCTGGCAGAGTGCTTCTTCCTTTGGGAAGCAGACAGGAGACAAATGGGAAGCATGAAAGCAAGGTGAGGAAAGGATGCTGCACGAAAACACTGCCCTGAAACAGTTCCCTCCTCTCTTTGTTGCCCTTTGATTCCCTCACACATACCTTTTGCTGACTTGCCCTAGGATACTTTAGGAACTCAAACGTGAACTTTTAATGTGGCTTATGGGATTGGAACAGGTGAGAAGAAGGGAATGTCTGGAGTAATTTGTGCATTTTGACTTCTTACAACAGATAACTCTGTTCTTAACCCTGTTTGTGATAAGCCAAAACAAACAATTGTAATTAGCTTTTGCTTTGCTATAACATTTTCAGTTAAAAGAATAAGTGAACAATTATTCAGTAAACTATATTTTAGAGCAATTATCTGAGTCTTAAAATAATGATAATAAGCAGTAATTCAGTCAGTAAAATGAACAAGTAGATTTTTTTTTTTTAACTAGAAAACAGTTTTCAGCACTTTTTCTTGACAGTCTTTTCTGCTGTTCTAAGTCTCTTCTACCTGTTTTACCTTTATTTCGATGCTTATGGTAGTTTTTAAAATTCTAGTAATATCTTCTAAAAACAAGGCCACTAAAGAGAGAGTGGAACGACTATGCAAGTCTAAAGCATTGTTTGAAGAGCGACTTGGACTGGAAATACGCAGAATTCATAGTAAGCTTCCATTAATTTTTGTATGCGGTGATGTAACATGCTTAATGCTGGATTGTGTAGTGAAGTAGCATGGTTAATGCTGGATTGCGTAGTGAAGAATAAATTAACTTACGTAACTGAAGAAGAATGTAAGCCTCAGCTCAAATCTACTTTGGTTTAAGTTTCTGTGGTGTATTGCGTTGTCATCTTTCTGACTTAATTACATGTGTTCACTCTAGTCATTTTCATTGATGGTGAGATCTGAGTGATCTGCAGGCTTAGCCTGGGCTTTGGATAGTGGCTGCAGCTCACAGCTGCTGGCATTACTGAAGAGCAGTTGAGATGTCTTCGTAAAGCTGAGGAAGGCAATGGTGGATGGTAACTTTGTCAGCCAACTCAAAGTAAGCCATTTGTACTCCTCAGCCCAAATATTACCATTGTCTCAAATGGCAGAAGAAGGTACATTAAAACATATTTGTCTTGCAAAGAGGTTTGCTTAATTTGTAAGTATTCTGAAGAATATTAATTGAAACTGAGCTGCAGCTGAATTCTGTGATTATTATTCATCCTTGTGACTCCTGCAAATGTTAATGGTGTTAATAAATTGTTCGTTTGCTTTAGATGAACAGTTGCAGTTTATATTCAGGCATATTGACCACAAAGATCCGGAGAAGCCATACGTATTCACTCTTTCTATAAATGAACAGGGAGATTATGAAGGTATGTGAATTTTAATTATTTAAGAGAATGGAATATGATGTGTCTGGGGAAAAGGAAAAGGAAGAGAGGAGTACATTAAGTACATTTTAGCTGTAACATTTATCTTCTAAATTCTAAATGAAAGACTCTGTAAGGCTAGTGTGTTTTTAATGGAGTTTCTCTTTTCAGTTTACATATGAAAACACAAGTGCTTATCTTCATTCCTCTCCATTTGTGGAGTTGCTGTTTACTTTGTCTCAAGCAAAGCCAGAGCGAGAAGATATATATGGAAAGATATTCAGTTTGTAGTTTATTGCTTTTTCCCTCTGCTACAGTGAGCATTTATGCTGACAGGCATGTTGCAATCTGTTTGAGAAGGCTAGTGGGCAGAACTATTAACTCCCTACAGATGGGAGTCATATGGGAGAAGGAGTAAAACTAGAAATCCAGCATTATTCTTCTGCAAAAAGAGTACAGCCTTTCAGATCTTAAAGATGTTTTTTCAGTACAAACCTTACTGCTGTTCTTTAACTGAAGTAACTTGAGTTACTGTGATAACTAGCCTCTAGATGCATGCTGCGGTCTCCCTGCTGTGCCTCCTAAGTATGGACTGAAATAGACTTCTGTTTTTACCCATTCAAATCTAACCTGTGCTCAAGTCCAAAGTTTATTGCATGCTGAGCTATATCGGTTTTGAGTCTATCCACCTGCAGAGCAACAAAAATGCGTAGGAACGTATTCCAGCTTTTGAGGCAGGCTATGGATCACTGGGAATTGCTGTAACAATTCAAGTGAAATTTAAGCAGGAGCACAGCACTGAGTGGGAGGTCTGGAAACCAGAAAAGAATTGTGTGTTCTTTGAGGCTTTGTCTTCACTTAAAGAAAATGATTAAATAGGTTGCTCAAAAATAATACTGATAAAAGAAGCTAAAACTAACGATAATGAACTAAATTGTATTTCATGAGTGTGGAAAAAACTAAAATTGAATTTTCTTGATAAACATAGTCTAATTTTCTGTAAATTTGTGTCATTTTAGTGACTTCCTGTTCTCCTCCCCTGGACTGTATAGCAGAGTTCCAGCTAAAAGTGAGAGAAACTAACAATTTTTCTGCATTTGTTGCCAACATCAGAAAAGCTTTCACTGCTTTATCTTATAAATAATCTGTATAAGAATACTTATACCTCTCTTCCTAGCTGTAGAGCACTTCTTTCTCTGTCCTGTATTCTGAAAGTATCTTTTTTTTATCCATGTCTTACTCTAATTTCTAAATAAAGAAAAATAACCAAAATAGTATTTTAGTCCATTATTGATTAGAGGTATTTGGATTATTCTTTGAACAATACTATAATCAAATACTTCCTTATCTGAACATCTCCAGACATGTACATTTGGATTCAGTAGGAAGCAGCTAAATTTGCCCTCAAGGCTTTCACTTGTAGAGGTTTCAGAGCCTTCCATTTCAGAGGTTTGCAAAAGACTGATGTAGTATTTCTATTCAGAGACAGTATTCGCGTTCAGAGACAGTCAAGCCAAAAGAAAAGTGGATGCCAAACGATTGGGGGTGTTTCACAGTGACAGAAAAATACCTGTTGTGCTGGTCATGACCATAAAGTATACTGATTTTTCCTGAAATAGGACAGGCAAATTACACTTACCATCTACACCAGATAAGAAAGTGCCTTTCTTGATATTTATGTTAACAAAATAGTACTTCATGTATAGAAACACAGGAATGGAAGGAGTCTCCTGGGTAAATTAATCTAGCATCCTTTTATCTCAGGCATAGACTGATCAAGAACCATGCTAAAACTAGTCAGTTTTTAATGCACTTCCTGTAGGAATTTCATTCTTGTGAAAGTTAGAAAACTTCAGAGTTACAGTATAGATTATAGACAGCCATCCTGTATTTGGACTTAGGCCCATACACTGTACTTCTTGCTGTATTTCTGGTATAGTTCTCCATAAGCTTCAAAACCTTGAGTCAGATCGCTAACAGCCTTCATGCTGCCTCAGAAGAGAGATGGTCCCTCCTTAAAAAGCATACAGAAATTGAACTCATTCTCTTATCCCTCACTCATGCTTGTCTGAGTTTGCTACCAAATCTTGGCAATATGCTTAACTCCTCTGCATAAGCACCCAAGACTTATTTTTTCCCTTTCCTACTGAAAGTAGGCAGTGAGCAATATATTAAAAGTACAAATAACAGCTTTTATATCGGGATTAACGGAGCAAATGCTTAATTTTGCAAAATGTGCCTCTGTGGAACAACAGTTTGGGAGTCTGCCTTCAAATATTGGGTCCAGTTCATTTGCAGATTTTGCTGCCTTTTCAACTGCACTAACAAGAATAACAGGAATATTTAAAGAGCAGGTATTTCTTTCAATTAATTGCTCCTATCACCAGAAGGATGCTGGAGGCACTTTCATTCATGTCAGTAGACTAAGTAGTAGTTATGAAAGGGTAGGGGGAAGTATTCAGCCAGGTCTACGCTTCCTGCTTTTGCCTTCTCTCCCAGGAGCTCTGACTGCAGGATTACCCCACACAGTTGGCAACTCTTCTCTTCCTCCTCCTTCCTTGTACAGAAGCCCTCACCTTCCACGTTAGAACCCCGTCTCCTCTTTCTCCGTAACAGCATCACTCCTGTATTCAGAATGTCTGTGTTTTTTTTGAAACATACTCCATCTAACTGCCACCCACTAAAGCTTACAAGCTGATTTGATCCAGTCATCTTATCAGAAAAAAACAATATTGAAGCATGGCACTGAGTAACATAAAGCCAAATGCTCAGGCTTACTGGCCTTCTCTTCATGTTCATCCTAGGCATGAGTAGTTGGTTTATTGCTTCTAACGAAATTACTTTGCCAAGCTTGCTGCATGCAGAACATAAAATACAGGACAACTGCCGCATGGGAATTTACATTCCTGAAAAATATTTGCTAGAAAAAATGATGTGCCTGGTTGTAAATTTTCTGTGCACACCTCCAAATCAAGTAGTAAAGTTTGAAATATTTATTGCGTGTAATTTAAACCTTTACAAGTCCTTCTGGAGTTTGAGTAACGAACCTGCTTATACTTACCAGGGAAGTCAGATGCATATCTTCCTCTAAAACAGAGGCAAGCATTGCAAAAGCAGATAAAAGCTAAGAGAAAAAAAAAAGGGGGGGGAGGCGTAAACACAATAGATTTGTTTCTCTGCTTGTTGTAATACATACAGTAAAACTGTCTTATGACCCCCCCCAAAACAGCTTTTGCGCTAGTTGAAGATCTGTCTTAGAAATCTTTAAAAAAACCTTTGTGCCTTTATCAAATGCACTTAGCTCTAACATAGCTTCACACACCTGAATCTGTAGCTAGTTGGAATTTTCTCGTTGTTACGAAGCCACACAATATAGCTATATCCAATAACAGCAGGGACAACGAGGACAGTAATATATACTGACTGTCATGGGGACTCCAGTGTGCTGGACAGCATAGAAACAGATTGAGCTGTCCTAAAGAGCTTATGGGACAAGCTCTTGAGCTGAATGAAATAAATATATATAAGCAAAATGCAGCCTAGGGGCTATGACAAACAAACAACCAGCTTCCTACAGTTGGTACTAGCGTTCTGCCTATTAGTAGGATGAAGTTCATTGCGAGTCAGAAAAGGCTCCCCCCCCGACCCCCGAATCAGTTTGCACAACCCTATTGCTTTCCTTTTCAAACCACTTGCTTCTATTTAGGTACCGAGGGTCCATCCTGATGGACACCGGTCAGTAACTACTTCTGTTGACTGCAGAGAAAATTGCTGATTTGTTACTGGTGCTTTTGCACCTGACCAAATTTCTCCTTTGTAATGTAATGTACAAATCTAGAGAAAAATGTGAAAGGTGTTGAATTTATTAGAGATTAGAAATTCCCTGGGAATTTAAGGCCTATTGGGAAGACAAAGTAATACGAAACATTAATAATGTACACACTGAATGTATTTAATCAGAATCATTAGTTGTTTGTATGCTAGCTGGAGGTGAGATTTCAAAAGAAATCAAATTGTAGCAGTCCTTGTGGCTATCAAAACAAAGATTTTGCTAATTATACGACTACTCAACAAAGAGTAAGGGATGGTTAAGCTGGGTTTGTTGACATTTTTCATAAACTCTCTCAGATGATGTTAGACATTTTAAAAAGCAAACAAACACATATTGGCTACACATGTGAAAATTAAAAGAGACATGGAAATTATGCTGTTTTTCCGTCATTTATATTCCAGTTGCACTGTTATATTACTGAAGTATCACCTTCTCCAATGCTTCAATAAACCTGAATTTATTCAGTACTTTGAAATTGTTTAAATCAGTCCTGTCATTGTAATACTCTAAAATCACTATGCACTCACTTGTGAAT